AATATTGAATCAACATTTAATATGGTTCTTTTGTTCGTACAGTGAATATGGTTAGGAGTTCCTTGACATCTTTAAGTTTGTAAGTTTGAAAAGACGCGAATTATAATCACACAAGTTTTTTTTAATTTATTTTTTAGAATAAAAATTTTTTTAAATTTATGATAGGGGGAGAAGGGAAAAAAGAGGTGAATGAAAAGAGGAAAAAAATAAGAAAATGAAGGAAATAGGATAGAAATAAAAAGAAATAGAGGAAATGGGGGCGGTAGATATTAATTCCTACTTGAAACAAATATGTGCTTCTTTCTTGAAGAAACACGTAGAGCAATGATGTATAAAACAATCTTATAAGGAAGTCACACTAATTGGAAAAGATAAAAGTTGGTTGAAATACAAAATAGTGTAACACTGTATTGAGCATGATTGTTAAAAAACAAAATTAGGAAATGAATTTTTGAAGAGGACATGACTTAAAGAACCATGGATAATGCATTTTTACAACAGTGAACTCTTGAAAAGAGCCCAGAGAGTGTTTTCATAGAAGACTTCAATATTGGAGCAGTAAACAAACAAAATGCATATTGTTGCTGAGTGAAATATAAATTATATTATGTTTAGATAGTATATCTATGAAAATAAAAAAGTGGTAAAAATTCTGACCGCCAATTATCGTTTAACAAAATTTGTATGTAGTATATTGATACCGTCCTGTTTATTACATATTATAAGTCAAAAAGATATATGTTAGGAAATGATGTTTTTTTAATAAGCGTGACATGAAAAATTTTGTATGAAGTTCACATTTTAAATCTTTAAAAGAAAAGAAAAAAACAAATCCGTTTAATTTAAACCTAATAATTTTTACATAAAAACATTTAATATTGTAAAAGAAGTTTTGATTAATAAATTCATCACGAGTACAAGTGAAGTGTCGATTGCATACTAAAAATGAAAATAATTAAGTACCTTCGTATATTGCAAATGTAATTACTAATACATGGAAATGGCTCATGACATTGTTTTCATTATTGTAGGATAATTTTTATTTAATGAAATTGAAAATATAAATTTGAAATTTTAATTAATTATTAGACCCAATTTATCAGGGTAACGAAAATTAATTAAGAAGAGTAAAAATTTACTTTATTGATAAAATAACCAAAGATCATTGAAAATTTAACCAAAAACCGAAGAAGAAAGTTGGCCAATTTTTTTTCAACCATGAATACGACAGGAGTAACAAGAACGGGATTTTATTTTGAAGAATATGTTAAAATTATATTTAAACCAAAATTGTATTTCACTAAGTGCTGGAGACAGAGATGATTCCTAGGGGCGGCGCCCGGGGGCGGAGCCGGCGCGGGGGTGGCGCTGCTGCTGGCGGCGCGCAGGCGCCCGCCCGCCGAGCGCCAGGCCCGGCTCTTCCTGGCGCAGCTGCGCGCGCGGCCCGTGGCCTTCCGCGCGGGAGCCTTGGGGCCGCTGGACCTGCGCTTCTTCGTGGGGCTGCTGGCCGCCATCCTCGGCTACCTGGTGGTCGCGGTGCAGTTGGCCCCGCAGGCGGAGACCTCGCAGCTGCACATCTGCGCGCGAGCGGCCCAATTCAATTGTTCTGGAGCGGCCGCGCACTCGCTGCTGTGATTTGTGTGGTAGGACATTGATACATCTTTCATACGACGACTAAAAAGTCTTGATACTGTAGCTTTAAAAGGCGTTTATTGATTATGGTGGACCCGAAAAGTTCGTGAGTAGAAACAGTAAACAATGTAAAGAGTGTTTTGAATTCCTCTTCAGAAAAAAAGAAAACAAAAAAAAAACAAAAAAAAAACAGGAAAATATTATTCTTATAAAAAATTTTAATTCTTATTATAAAATATTTTTTGAATGATTTTGTCAGTGACAAATATTTTCCGATCATTCTTAAGAAAGTGTTAAAAGCAAGACATTGCTTGTAATCAATCTGCAATATGAATCAACAATTTGAAATATTTCTTGTGCTTCTTCGTGCAACTATTGGTTACCATTCTTGGCTATCTTGTGATCGTCGTACAGTTTTACCAGCCGGCCGAATCATACTTAATAAACAGTTTTTTTAATTTATTTTTTGAGAATTTTTAAATTTCTGATCGGAAAAAGCCTACTTATTCCTACGTTGACAAATACTGTGCTCTTATTCTTGAGAAACACTTGAGAGCAATGAATGGTCTAAAACAATCTATAAGGAGAAGTCCCCTAATTGGCAAAGCGATCCCAATGTGAAATACCAAAATAGTTAACCTGTATTGAGCTGATGTCTCAACACAAAATTTGGAAATGATTTTGAAGAGGCCATCGATCGAGCATGGATAATGATTTTTCAGTTGAAGCTCTTGAGCGAAGAGGCAGAGAGTGTTTTTCATAGAGCTTCAATATTGGAGCAGTAAACAAAACAATTGATATTGTTTGTGTATTAGAATAATTATCCATATAATATGTGTTAGTAGTATATCTAATGAAATATCACAGAAGTGGGCTCAATAGCTCTGGGACGCCAGTGTATTCGTTTCACCAATTTGTATGGTAGTATATTGATACGTCTGTTCATTACCTAATATTCTGTTACCGAAAATGATGTTTTTTTTAATAAGCGTGGACTGGAAAATTTGGTATGAAGGTTCCATTTTCAAATTCTTCAGAAGAAAAGAAAAAAACCAATCGTTTCATTTAACTAATAATTCCGACATTAACAAACATGTTCTTAATATTGCTAAAAGAAGTTTTGATTAATAAATTATCGGTCAGTGAAGTGTCGAATTCATATAAAATGAACATAAATTAAAGTACTTCGTATATTGCAATGTAATTACTATTCATGACATTGGCTCATGGCTTTGTTTTTCATTGCCATTGTAGGATGAATTTTTATTATGAAATGCAAAATAATCAATTGAAATTTTATTAATTACTAGACAATTTATTTCAGGGATCCACGCCAATCTAGTAAGAAGAGTAAAAATGTCTTTATTGACTAAATACAACGCTTCTTGAAAACGTTGTTTACGAAGAAAGTTGGCTTTTTTTCGTGCTCGACAGGCAGTCAAGAACGGCTTTCTTTTTGCACAGCTGTAAAATCATTCCTAGTTTTAAACAAAATGTATTTCTAAGTGTGGAGCGAGATGATTTGTTATTGAAACAATAATAATCTTTTTTACTTATATATTAAACTTTTTCACATACTTGAAATTTAAATGTGTGAAAATTATGAATTATCCATGAAAATAATATACTATTAACAAACAGAACAGTTGTTTATGAATTGGGTACCCGATTGAAAAAAAAACTATTGCTGGGTCCACGGCAAATATAGTGTCATCATTTGAATAGAATTTTGGATTATATTTAAAATGAGATATGAAACAATGATTTAGAAATTCGGTGGTAGCGTAAATAAAAGGTTTAAAATAACTCAGCGGTATTTAATAAAGTGATTTCTATCATCAGTGGCAGTTGTATCATCAGTGGCAGTTGTATCATCAGTGGCAAAGAAACGGGAAGTTGCAGCGCAACGAAGAGAAGCATAGTAAGAAAATATGTCGACAAGCAAAGCACTACCACGTATCCTCCATGGCCTTACACCGTTAATTGGCATTGCGCGTTTCATTGGCGTAGCCCCATACGCCTTCGAGACCCGAAAAGCGATATGGCAGGTCTCGCGCAGTTGGGCGGCGGTTTCTCTTGGCTTGTGCATCCTCTGCCTTCACTTTTCATTTCTAGTGCATTGCGTCCGCATCGGCTTGTCCAACAGAGATTCTATTCACCAAGGATTGACGCGTCTGGCACTTGTTTTGCAACACTTTATGCGCCACGTCATTGTCGCGTATCCGATTCTCTCTTCTGTCCGTCGCTGCACCGCAATGAGATGGGAAATCCTTTTCCGCTTCATGAGCGATTTGGAACGCAATATGGAATGCGAGAGACGTTTACTGCCCATGATGACAAGGCGTTTCTGTGTAGCGACAGTGCAAGCTCTTATTATTGGTTTTGAGGCAGGACAAATAATATTGTTCTATATAAATTTTCGCAATGTTCCATTTATAGCTGAATTATTTTGGTGTATATCTTTCTATTACACTTGCTTTTTTGGACATTTGTTCTCTGTTATTGTTCTAATCGTTAAGCAATACTTTGTTGAAATAAACAGACGAATTTCAAGGATTGCAACGCAACTACAGAAAAATGAGGCTGATAAGCAATCACGCACAAAAAGTTATTTATCCATAAAAAAGGTTTTTCGAAACGAAGATATCATTCAGCCTCAGACCCACGCATTGAATGTGGAAAACAAATTCGAACTCGAAATACGGAAACTACGTGAGTTACATTTCACACTGCAGCGAACGTGCATCGTAATAGCTGAAATGTTCAGCGTGAACTTGCTACTGCTCTACGTTCATCTGATGGTGAATATGATGGTGTGCGTCTACGTCGTAATGTTGACAGTCCTGAGCAAGGTGCCCGCGTCGCAGACGGCGCTGTTCGCCGCTTCGTCCGCCTTCAACGCGGCGCTGAGCGCGTCGGTGGCGTGGGCGGCGGGG